GATCTGATTTATCTCTAGAGAAACTGCAGTGCAATGTGCGCATTGAGCTCACAGAAAAAAAAGAACGAAATTGAATAAAAATAATTGAACCGACTTCAGTCAATTAGTAGTTAAAAAAAAAACATAACAGCTGTTTAGTTACACAGCAATAGCCACTGGGAACACCACATCATTTCAATGTGGATAATTTGATAATATTTGGTAGATACATTTATCAATGAGATTTCAACCTATTTATACCCACTCAAAAAGACAGCCAACAGTTTGTTGAATTCCCAATGTGTTATCACTATGTTTTCAAGCATCTAAAAGCACAACCAAAATCGATGTCTGATTTTTGGTTTAGTTGTCACCTAAATGTACTATCACTGCGCTTTCAACCATTTAAAAGCACACCAAAGTTAAAATGTGAATACAATGTCAGATATTTTGCTTATTAAACAACAACATCATTGTGCAAAAACTGGTTGCATCAACGTTGTTTCCACATTATTTCAACAAAAAAAGTGTGATGTTGAATAAACGTGGAAAACTGATTGGATTTTCAAAAAGTCATCAACGTAAGGGAATTTCTTATTTATTTTCAACCAAGCTTTAACCTAAATCTAATCACATGGTGACCTTTTTTTATTTATTTCACTTTGAATTCAAGTTAGTTGATATCTCAAGGGAGCACACCCATCACCATCAGGACCAGCACACACACTGCTCACAGCGATAAAACCAAAACACAAAACATAAATAACTCAAAGCAAAACATACAATAATCACATCCCCACCCTCACCCCTAATTGGAGGCCTTCAAACATTTATACTGTGCATGTGTGTGTGTATTTACTCCAACACTCATTAATTCCTATCTTCAGACAGCCACAGATCAACCCATCTTTCCCAGTAAATCATCATTCTACAATTTCCTCTTGCAATACCTCCCCCCTGGATGTGTTACTCATTTTAAGGTTGAATAAAAACTGTTACATTAGTTAACAATAGGCGATTTACTGTCTTACAAAAGTAATATTGAATTGTGTTTGGTTGACAACGCAGCATTTAAATATCAACATTTTAAAGGAGATGTACAGTTGAAGTCGGAAATGTTCATACACTTAGGTTGGAGTCATTAAAACTTGTTTTTCATCCACTCCACAAATTTCTTGTTAACAAACTATGATTTTGGCAAGTCAGTTAGGACATCTACTTTGTGCATGACACAAGTAATTTTTCCAACAATTGTTTACAGACAGATTATTTCACTTATAATTCATTGTGTGGTCCTCTGTAGCTCAGCTGGTAGAGCACGGCGCTTGTAACGCTAAGGTAGTGGGTTCGATCCCCGGGACCACCCATACACAAAAAAAAAAATGTATGCACGCATGACTGTAAGTCGCTTTGGATAAAAGCGTCTGCTAAATGGCATATTATATTATTATTATCACAATTCCAGTGGTCCAGAAGATTACATACACTAAGTTGACTGTGCCTTTAAACAGCTTGGAATATTCCAGAAAATGATGTCATGGCTTTAGAAGCTTCTGGTAGGCTAATTGACATCATTTGAGTCAATTGGAGGTGTATCTGTGGATGTATTTCAAGGCCTACCTTCAAACCCAGTGCCTCTTTGCTTGACATCATGGGAAAATCAAAATAAATCAGCCAAGACCTCAGAAAAAGAATTGTAGACCTCCACAAGTCTGGTTCATCCTTGGGAGCAATTTCCAAACGCCTGAAGGTACCACGTTAATCTGTACAAACAATAGTATGCAAGTATAAACACCATGGGATCATGCAGCCGTCATACCGCTCAGGAAGGAGACGCGTTCTGTCTCCTAGAGATGAAAGTACTTTGGTGCAAAAAGTGCAAATCAATCCCAGAACAACAGCAAAGGACCTTGTAAAGATGCTGGAGGAAACAGGTACAAAAGTATCTATATCCACAGTAAAACAAGTAATATATCGACATATCCTGAAAGGCCACTCAGCAAGGAAGAAGACACTGCTCCAAAACCGCCATAAAAAAGCCAGACTACGGTTCGCAACTGCACATGAGGACAAAGATTGTACTTTTTGGAGAAATGTCCTCTGGTCTGTTGAAACAAAAATAGAACTGTTTGGCCATAATGACCATTGTTATGTTTGGAGGAAAAAGGGGGGTCTTGCAAGCCGAAGAACACCATCCCAACCGTGAAGCACGGGGGTGGCAGCATCATGCTGTGGGGGTGCTTTGCTGCAGGAGGGACTGCTGCACTTCACAAAATAGATGGCATCATGAGGAAGGAAAATTATGTGGATATATTGAAGCAACATCTCAAGACATTAGTCAGGAAGTTAAAGCTTGGTCAGAAATGGGTCTTCCAAATGGACAATGACCACAAGCATACTTCCAAAGTTGTGGCAAAATGGCTTAAGGACAACAAAGTCAAGGTATTGGAGTGGCCATCGCAAAGACCTGACCTCAATCCTATAGAACATTTGTGGGCAGAACTGAAAAAGCGTGTGCGAGCAAGGAGGCATACAAACCTGACTCAGTTACACCAGCTCTGTCAGGAGGAATGGGCCAAAATTCACCCAACTTATTGTGGGAAGCTTGTGGAAGGCTACCCAAAATGTTTAACCCAAGTTAAACAATTTAAAGGCAATGCTACCAAATACTAATTGAGTGTATGTAAACTTCTGACCCACTGGGCATGTGATGGAAGAAATAAAAGCTGAAATAAATTATTCTCTCTACTACTATTCTGATATTTCACATTCTTAAAATAAAGTGGTAATCCTAACTGATCTAAGACAGGGAATTTTTACTAGGATTAAATGTCAGGAATTGTGAAAAACTGGGTTTAAATGTATTTGGCTAAGGTGTATGTAAACTTCCGACTTCAACTGTATCTACTGCTTGGATAGTTCCATCTGAGCCACTGGCTTAATCCTATTCGTTAACTTTTATTTTTGGTTGAGATGTAAATGTGAATCCAACATATAATTTGTTAACTTGTCAACAAGTTAGTATGCTATTTACCGTATTGCAAAAGTGATATTGAATTGTGTTTGGTTGTTAACGAAACCAAATATCAACTTTTGAAAGAGATGCATCTTCTGATTGGATAGCTCCATCTGTGCCACTGAGTCAGGCTTTAATTCCAGTTTGTCTACAAAATAAAAATTGATATGTTGAATTCACGTCTCCATTTTAGACGTTGGTATTTTTAGACGCACATTCCTAATAGTCAGTGACAAATATATCAAAGCTAAACAGGGCTGGGCTTGGTTAAAATCCTGGATGGGAAACCGAAGGGATAGCTGTAGATAGATCAACTCTCCAGTAGGAGGTGCTGACCAGCCTATAGTTTTTTTCTTATAGTGGCTATTACGTTGAAGATCTGACGTTGTTTCAAAGGTACAAATTCAACATATTTTGGTTGTTGAAATGTTACCCTCAAAATAGCAGTTTTAAATTTTTTAACAAAAGTTCATAACTTTTTTCAAATCCAATGTATTCTCCACCACAGGAGGTTGGCCGCACCTTAATTTGGGAGGACGGGCTCGTGGTAACGGCTGGTGCGGAATCGGTGGAATGGTATCAAGCACATGGTTTGATGCCATTCCATTTACGCCGTTCCAGTCATTATTATCAGACGTTCTCCCCTCAGCAGCCTCCACTGTTTTCCACGTAGATTCCACATCACAATGCGTTGACAAATTACGTTGAACAACGTTGATTCAACCAGTTTGTGCCCAGTGGGTAGCTAGCAATGAAAACAACTTTATGATACTGTGTTGAGCTAGCAAGCTGTTTAACTGTAGACTCTTACCTGCATATCTATGGATTATGATTAATCACGGCAGACTAAAACACTTTCAAAATATCCTTCCCACTCGGCATCAACCAGATTATGATTTCCTTCCACAGTAAGAGCTGCATGATACCAGCGCATTGATGGGTCCAGAAGCCGTGTTTTGTTATGATTCTGAATGGTCAGATAGCTAGCAACAATGACAAGAAGCTGCCATGTGGGGAATCGTAGATGGCTCATTTCAGCAAGTTTTATCTTGTTTTTGATACCATGTCTTGTTTTGAGGTGTTGTGACAGATTTCCTAGCTAGCTAACCAAGTTCTCATTGTGCAAATGTATTTATGTTTTCAATAAACATTTGGAGACTAAATATAGTTTACATGTTGTCAACAATCTAAGACAACCCTATCTGTTTTGCCCCATAGTTGCGCACGTGTCGGTTTTCTGTTGTAGTTCTGTTTGCCGTCAAACTTCCCGGATGAGTTACGGCATCACATTTGTGTCTGCATTACGTAAATGAAAATGTAAAAATGCATTAGTCCTACATCACCTCTTGAATACACTTATCTGCAACATTCTGTATTATTATCCTTGTTCATACACAGCTTAGTCCTAATCACAATATGTTAACTTTTTTGTATTGTATAATTGTATTACATTGTTGACATGCTTGAAAATGGATGGAATATTTAGATTTTGTACGTGAGAGAATAGAGCCAGTGGTTCCTAACTCCAGTCCTCGAGTACCCCCAACAGCACACATTTTTGTTGTAGCCCCAGACAAAAAACACCTGATTAATTTAATTGTGGGCCTGATTAGTTGATAAGTTGAAACAGGTGTGCTTGTCCTGGGATACAATACAAATGTGTACTGTTGGGGGTTCTCGAAGGACTGGAGTTGGGAACCACGAGTAGACCTTGGCAACATATTTTTGGGAGATTTCAGGAAATTCTTCCCTACGCCAGTTATAGATTGTGACTCATTTATTACTCATAACTATAAATGTGTGCCTGTCTCACTGATATATTTCAGATGTCTTTGTCCATATGGATAGACCACTGAGGGCCTGAAGATGAGATGCTGATTTAGCCACTGATCTTCCTCTTCTGCAGATTCAAGCATGACTTTTGGGAAGAGGAGCATTGTGGGAAAAGTTGTTCTATTCCCCTAAACTCACCAAGGCTGTTTGTGAAGAAGACACTGGGTCAAACATGAACGGTAAGGGCTGTCACCTCCTGGTCTCCCCCTCTGGTGGAACCCCATCGCTGGGCATGATCACAGGACAGCAGGCCCCCTCCATCAGGATGCCTATGCACACCACCCTGTCCCCGGGATACCGTGCCACCCTGAGCCCCTCTCCGGTGGGTAGCAGCTGGGGCAGAGGAGGGGGTGTCCACCACTCCCAGGTACCCCTCAGCTCCGGGACAAACTCTGGGAGTTCTGTCCTGCTTCCTGCCCCGAGCCTCCGCAGGCAGATGTTGACCAATGGGAAACAGCCAAATGTGTCAAGTGTCTCACAGATGTCATGGCAACAAGTGCCCACCCTTCAACTCCCACCCATCAGCATTGCAGCCACCAATCAGGGCATGGCGTCTGACTGCTCTGACAGTGGTGTCAAAGGTAAGTTCTAGTAGGCTTTGCCGATAGACAGTATTACATACAGACTAATACATTTACACATCAGTGTATATGTGAGTGATGTCTTGACCTTTTGTGTAGGATAAGGTCATTTCCATGTAAAAGGACCCATGAGCACCAACATGTGAAGTTCATAGGAGCATGTCAAATTGGGTGTCAAATGAAGGCTAAGAGTATATTACATGTTTTATTAAGACATATATATATATATTATTTTCAACCATTTCCATCCTAGAAATTAGGAATAAGCAAAGGCTTTGATTTATTTTCAAACAGATTGAAATTAGGTCTTAGAAAACATCTACCAGAAACCGCTTTAAAAGCTATTAGAAATACATCAAAACACAATAATGTTGAAGACCCCTGCCAACTAATATCAACACTTATATTTAGTTTAGGATAATTTGTTCTGCCTTCTGTAAGTTTAACAAACATTGCCTTGTGCCTTGAAATTCCATTACCAAAAACCCACATATCTTTTAAGATATTTTCAGTTCACAGAAGTGACAAGTAAAGACCTATCAGTTAGTTATAGTGTTTTTACTGATATCAATTTTGTTTATAAATTATTAAGTGATTAAAACAAATCATAACAGAATTTCTGCAATTGAATTGGCTACAATGGGAAATCAAAGTAGTCACAAAACACAGTTGGGTCACCTGCTACTGTCCTCCCTTCCACTGGCATTCTGTTATGTTCAACTGGTAACAGTTTTCTTTCTCTTTCTGTCATCTGGTGGTCAAAGCAAGAGTGTGAAAAGTCTGGGCAAGCCCTGCCTCACTCTCTCCCTCTCTCTCTTCTCTCTCTCTCCAATTAATGTCCCCTCTCCCGGCTCTTACTGACACCTACCCATGAGCCCCCTCCCTTTCCATTTACTGTAACCAGGTTCCTCACCCACTAAGCACTGACCGACACCGGACGTCCATGGACGTTGACAAGTAGTTTACATTTGGTCAGTCTGCCCTGGCCTTGATTTCAACATCCACATACATTTTTGGGGGGCCTGGTGCAGACCAGACTTGATTTCAAGTCTTTCTGTACCGGCCTTTTTTTGGCCCAAACATAGACATAGACGTCCATGATTCACAAGTTTGGACAGCACAGTACATTACAGGACAGTACAGTAGAGCACAGTAGAGTACACAACAATAAAGAAAAGTAGAGTATAGTTCAGTATATTACAGTACAGTACAGTAGAGCACAGTAGAGTACACTACAGTAAAGAAAAGGAGAGTATAGTTCAGTACAGTACAGTAAAGAAAAGTAGAGTTCAGTACAGTACACAGTAGAGCACACTAGAGTTGAGTACACTATAATGTACTGTACTGAACCATACTCTACTGTACTGTACTGTACTGAACTGTATTGTACTGTACTGAAGAATACTCTACTTGACTATACTGTACTGTACTCTACTGAACTCTACTGTGCTGTACTTTGATGTCCAAACTTGTGAAACATAGACGTCTGTGATTGGTTAAGATTTGGTCCGGTCCGGACCAACCAAATGTTGTCTTGTTTGGTGGCGGAGCTCATTAAAATAATAGCCAGTGTGTAGAGTAATACCCAAATATGCAAAGGAGGATATTGCATATTTATACCTTTGTGTATCTATTCAGGATACATCACCATGAAGAGAATGACATTCATATTTATAATTATGCATTTCTGTCTAGTACAGATCAGGGACCCATGATGAAATTTCATTACCTCAATTCTGTTACCAGGTGTAAATCCACTTCACTTACTGTAGTTCAACAACCAAAAGAGATAAAATAAAGATAAAATATTTTTTTTAAATGAAATAGTGACACGAGGAATAAATACATAATGAATAACGAATAACAATAATGAGTAAAAAATAACATGGCTATATACAGGGAGTGGCTATAAGCATCTGCACAGTTCTTCCAGTAAATGGGTTTTTGTAAAATGTTCAGTGTAAATTGTTAAAAGTAGTCCTTGTGCATAGAGTTGTACAGTTTGTTAAACTTTGAAATCAATTACGGTCTAAGGCACTGCATCGCAGTGCTTGAGGTGTCACTACAGACCCGGGTTCGATCCCAGGCTGTGTCACAGCCGGCCGTGACCGGAAGACCTTGAGGCGGCGCACAATTGGCCCAGCGTCGTGCGGGTTAGGGTAGGGTTTGGCTGGCCGCGATTTCCTTGTCGGTCGCCAGCTGGACAGTGTTTCCTCCGACACATTGGTGCGGCTGGCTTCCGGGTAGAGCGAGCAGTGTGTCAAGAAGCAGTGCGGCTTGGCAGGGTCGTGTTTCGGAGGACACATGGCTCTCGACCTTCTCCTCTCCCGAGTCCGTACGGGAGTTGCAGCGATGGGACAAGACTGTAACTACCAATTGGATATCACGAAAAAGGGGTCAAAGTAAAGTAAAGTAGAATCTGAATCTCAGAGCAATTCCGTTACCGTGGAATTGCCCATAACTGTAATTGACTTGATCAGTCTTGACTTTGTCCCCTCATTATGACAGTGTGACCCTCGAGACCTTAGGTTAGTGGTCCTCTCTAGGTGCACTTGCAAGTGAGGATGTCACTCCAAATAAGACCCATGGGGCGGCGCACAATTGGCCCAGCGTCGTCCAGGGTAGGGGAGGGAATGGCCGGCAGGGATGTAGCTCAGTTGGTAGAGCATGGCATTTGCAACGCCAGGGTTGTGGGTTCGATTCCCAAAATAAAAAGATAATGTAAGTCGCTCTGGATAAGAGCGTCTGCTAAATGACTAAAAATTTAAAAAATGTAAGTTGAAAGCACCATATTAAAGGAATCAGTTATTTAATAGCTAGCTAAATGTTCCCTACCATAAACTATTTATTTAAAACCTGATACTTATGCCCTCCAAGGACCTGTATGGAGGACCTCTTCCTCCCTTTCAATTGAAAGATCACAGTGTGCACGTCCCAGAACAGAAGACAGACTTACAGTGATATGTTGTAAACAGTTTTTCAATCAGCCCCTCTCTTCTCGCCACTCTTCAAAGTAGCACTGATTTACATAGACGTCTTCATACTTCACTTCACTTCAATGTTGTCCTCCCACCCGAACCACCGCTCTTCCCCAGAACTCCTTTCTCCCTGGCCTGTTTATTGATAATTAACCAAGCAGAAAACATGTCCCTAAATGAGCGATGGAGGAAAAATAGGAAGAAAAAAATCTCATTAGTAATTAACAGAGCAGAAAGTGTCTCTGGGCAGTTCAGGTTTGTTAGGTTGAATTCCAGTATTCATACGTTTCTATTGAACAAGACAAAAAACGTCAGGTTTGTGTTTGATTTCTGTTGAAGATATCTTTCTAATGGGTCCCTGGTGTGCAAACACAGTTTGCTGTGTTAATATGGTGAAGTGAACTGTGATGGAGATGAACAGACCCTGAACCTTGGATTCATTGCATCGCTATCAAAGTCAGATACTGCCAGTACAAATTAAAGAAATGTGTGTCAAGCATGATGACAATGGTTGGATGCAAATGAAAATGCCTCAACCACTCTCACTACAATTAATACACAGTGAGAGTTCTCCACAATCGTCTCTCTATTATCTTTGTCTAGAATTTACGTTGAATAGCTTGATTCCATAATTAAGAAAGTTATTATAATTTTTTATGTTTTCTTAAATCTTGTTTCAAGCTGTGTCGAACGATTCTGATTGAATTTAGTCTAGCACAAGCAGCAACACTGGAAGGCTGAGGCTGGAGTGCTCAGATGTAAAGGCTTCTTATTTATTATGATTTTTATAATATTCCTAGTTGAACATAAACTTGAAACAGTGTTGATTAATTTAGAGCCCGCATGAGACCTAAGAAATTCCACTCTACATTTTAGACCCTTAATCATTAATACAGTATGTGGTTCCTCACTATTTAGATATTATTATGCATGGAGAAATGTCAAGATTTTTTTTATTTGTAAAGTATATGGTCTAATTCAAGCAAACCATGTCAAGTGATTGTATTTCCTACTGTACAGTGAGGGGAAAAAATATTTGATCCCCTGCTGATTTTGTACGTTTGCCCACTGACAAAGAAATGATCAGTCTATAATTTTAATGGTAGGTTTATTTGAACAGTGAGAGACAGAATAACAACAACAAAATCCAGAAAAACGCATGTAAAAAATGTTATAAATTGATTTGCATTTTAATGAGGGAAATAAGTATTTGACCCCCTCTCATTCAGAAAGATTTCTGGCTCCCAGGTGTCTTTTATACAGGTAACGAGCTGAGATTAGGAGCACACTCTTAAAGGGAGTGCTCCTAATCTCAGCTTGTTACCTGTATACAAGACACCTGTCCACAGAAGCAATCAATCAATCAGATTCCAAACTCTCCACCATGGCCAAGACCAAAGAGCTCTCCAAGGATGTCAGGGACAAGATTATAGACCTACACAAGGCTGGAATGGGCTACAAGACCATCGCCAAGCAGCTTGGTGAGAAGGTGACAACAGTTGGTGCGATTATTCGCAAATGGAAGAAACACAAAAGAACTGTCAATCTCCCTCGCCCTGGGGCTCCATGCAAGATCTCACCTCGTGGAGTTGCAATGATCATGAGAACGGTGAGGAATCAGCCCAGAACTACACGGGAGGATCTTGTCAATGATCTCAAGGCAGCTGGGACCATAGTCACCAAGAAAACAATTGGTAACACACTACGCCGTGAAGGACTGAAATCCTGCAGCGCCCGCAAGTTCCCTCTGCTCAAGAAAGCACATATACAGGGCCGTCTGAAGTTTGCCAATGAACATCTGAATGATTCCGAGGAGAACTGGGTGAAAGTGTTGTGGTCAGATGAGACCAGAATGGAGCTCTTTGGCATCAACTCAACTCGCCGTGTTTGGAGGAGGAGGAATGCTGCCTATGACCCCAAGAACACCATCCCCACCGTCAAACATGGAGGTGGAAACATTATGCTTTGGGGGTGTTTTTCTGCTAAGGGGACAGGACAACTTCACCGCATCAAAGGGACGATGGACGGGGCCATGTACCGTCAAATCTTGGGTGAGAACCTCCTTCCCTCAGCCAGGGCATTGAAAATGGGTTGTGGATAGGTATTCCAGCATGACAATGACCCAAAACACATGGCCAAGGCAACAAAGGAGTGGCTCAAGAAGAAGCACATTAAGGTCTTGGAGTGGCCTAGCCAGTCTCCAGACCTTAATCCCATAGAAAATCTGTGGAGGGAGCTGAAGGTTCGAGTTGCCAAACGTCAGCCTTGAAACCTTAATGACTTGGAGAAGATCTGCAAAGAGGAGTGGGACAAAATCCCTCCTGAGATGTATGCAAACCTGGTGGCCAACTACAAGAAACGTCTGGCCTCTGTGATTGCCAACAAGGGTTTTGCCACCAAGTACTAAGTCATGTTTTGTAGAGGGGTCAAATACTTATTTCCCTCATTAAAATACAAATCAATTTATAACATTTTTGACATGTGTTTTTCTGGATTTTTGTGTTGTTATTCTGTCTCTCACTGTTCAAATAAACCTACCATTAAAATTATAGACTGATCATGTCTTTGTCAGTGGGCAAACATACAAAATCAGCAGGGGATCAAATACTTTTTTCCCTCACTGTATGTCCCTGTATACTTTGACATTGGTGGAGAACCCTCAACCCTCTAATGGTGAACTTGTCTCTACCAGGTTACTCTGTCTCAGGACCAAGTATGCAGGTGTTGGGCCAGCCGGCTGGTGCCAACCTCTGGGTCACCAGTAGTCCCATGGTGGTCCAGAGCCTGGGCCCAGTGTCTCCTGTGAGCACCCAGGCCTACACCTCAGGTCCTCTGGTACCACACACCCCCCAAGACCCCCAACCCCCACAAGGCCTGGTGGTACCCTACACAGATGCCAGGTGAGTCAACATCTGCACCATTCTAGGTGAGGGAGTATACCTGCAAACTCTTTTCATTACACTGATTTCTGTGATACTTTAAACAAAATTCACGTACGTTATTAAACAGCTGTGATACTAAACTCTACCCGACTTTCCTGGTACTGCTATCCTTACTCACATACTACAGTGTTGTGCCTCAGGTCCTTGCTCTCCAGAGAGTCGCTGGCCTCCACCACCCTGAGCCTAGCAGAGACCCAGTCAGTTCTGAGTGGCAGACAGGAGTGGCCCTATGGCTACCGGGTCCTTCCTCCACTCTGCCCACAGCAGGGCTCCACCCTAGGCAGCGAGGGCGGTGAGCTGCTCAGCATGCCCCCTGGCACTGCCATGTCAGGGAGCACCAGCATCTCCAACTCTGCGTCCCTGCCTTCCTACCTGTTTGGGGGGGATGTCAACAGCCCCCGGCAGTACTCAGCCCATTCCAAGAAGAGGGCCCTCTCCATGTCCCCTCTGTCAGACGGCTATGGCATCGACTTCAACTCCATCATCCGCACCTCGCCCACCTCGCTGGTGGCTTACATCAATGGTTCCCGGAGCTCTCCGGCTTCCCACCACACCCTTTCACCCCTCCAGCCTGAGGTCTATGGCCACTTCCTGGGGGTGAGAGGGAGCTGTATCCCCTATCCTCAGACTCCAGGCCTCTTCAGCCTCCCAGGCTCCACACTGGCCCTGACCCAACTGAGTGACCCCCACCCTTGGACGGAGTGTGGTCGCATGCAGAGGCTGGAGCAGGGCGGAGCGCTGGAGAGCCAGATGGCTAACATGGTGGTGGAGCAGCAGTGTCTCCCAGAGGAGGGAGGGACACTACAGAAGGCAGCCAGGAACGCTAATGACCTGGTGCCATCTCTACACTTTCAGCTAGAGTTGGCCACCATCATCAGATCAGCTAGTCCACCGCAGGGCCCACCGCCTCCCTACCACTCTCACCAGCACCACCACCTCCACAGACCTCTCAGCCACATCCAGGGCCAGGCCCAGTTCCCTGTCCCGCAGGCTCCCCCAGCTCCCCCTGGGCATGGGGTCAGCCTCCTGCCTCATCCTCTTTCCCCGTTCCCCATGCTGGAGGAAGAGGAGGAGGAGACAGAGGAATACAGTAGGGGCCACTGCTGCCGCTGGTTGGACTGCAGTGCTGTGTATGACCAAAAGGAGGAGCTGGTAAGGCACATAGAGAAGCTCCATGTGGACCAACGGAAGGGCGAGGACTTCACCTGCTTCTGGGCAGGATGTCCACGCAGGTTCAAGCCTTTCAACGCCCGCTACAAACTCCTCATCCACATGAGAGTCCACTCTGGAGAGAAGCCCAACAAGTGCACGGTACATAGCAAATCAATCTCTGGTGAATGCCTCAAAACTGTCTATACCATGCAAGTGTGAATCTGTTTAGTCACCCACTTGAGAATCCATTGGCTTTACCTGAACAAAATTCTACCTCAGGTATTCCATCTTATGCACAATGGTTAACATCCTTTTCCCATAAGTGTGCTACAGGGGGAAGTGAGTGCACCAGTTCCCTTCCAGGCTGTCTCCCCTGTCTACTGTGAGTCAACCAGCCAATCATCTAGACCTGAGCTATAGATGTCATTTCAGCCTCTTAATAGCCTTGCTGAGACAGTTTAGAGGGAAATAGACATCTTGAAGTACACATGTTGTACCTCTTTAAGGCCTTTGTGTGCTCTGATGTACGGCCGAAGGCTGAAGGTTGGGGTCAGAAATATGGCCTCTCTCTCCTCTTAACTGTGGCCACGGGCTAATTAGTCCAGCTCTGTGATAGTTGACATGGGAGTTAACTTAATTATGTAGTTATTAAATCAGCACAAAGGCAGCGCAGCGCTTAAGTTCTGGCAGGGCACCAGTCAGACAGCCTCCTGCTCTCTGCTCTCTGCCACAGTCTCCTCTCTCTCTCCTAGATCTCTCTCTCTCTGAGCTACTCTACCAGGTAGTCACAGGGCCTGTCAGCAGCCAAGAACCTGCCAGGCAGGGACAGACTTGGCTGGGTTTCTGGGAAGGTGATGCCCCCTGGCCCGGTTCTGATTGGGTCTGGTTCTGTGACCAAGGAGAGAGAGACTTGAATGGAGTTCATCTGAAAGCCATGGACCTGGTTCTGATTAATTTAGTCCTCTTCACTAGTCGCTTTTGATTTCACTGCATGACAACATGCCATGTTCAAAGCCAAAGTCAGTTGACAGATGAGTTGTTCTGCACTGTATGTCCTTCCTGTCCTGTATTTTTTTTTTTTTTTTTTTTTTTTTTTTTTTTACAAATTACTAAAACTTAAACGAAACTGTAGAAATTATATTGGACCTACATTTGAACAGAGTCTTCACTCTTTCCAGGTTGCTATGAATCACCTAAATGAAAGCTGAATAGTTAAGGAGAATCAAACATTTAAAAAACAATGGATACAGGACTTTTTTTTGCTAATTTTGACGGCAAGGAAATATAACAAATTTTCAGTGTAGCCCTCCGGACCTCGGTAAATACCGAATGCGGCCGGCGGGCAAAATGAGTTTGACATCCCTGGTCTAGACAATTGTAGAGATACCCCCCGCCCTCAACCCCACTGGTAACATACTTGAAGTTCAGATGAGTAAGAGGCCAACAATTCTCATTCTCTGTCTCGTTTCGCTGCTTCTTGGTTAGACAATTATTAACTGGATGCATACCTGCGGTCGACCTTTCGCTCCAAAACACTCACTTATTAGTTCTAACCAGTCCCGTTGCTATGGAGGCTGCAGCTGCATTCAGATGGGTCTGTGTACCATGAAATCATGTGTTAAAGGGGAAAATATCCAGGGTCATGCCCAAAAACAGAACAGACATTGGGTGTGTCGGAAATGGCACCATATTCCCTATATAGTGAATAGAATGCCAATTTGGACATACCCATTATATAACATCCCATCATCCCAGGCTTGACTTCAGCATACGCTGATAAGTCCTACTGAAAAGAAATAGAACGAGGTCAGTCTAATTGACAGAAACTGTCAGAAAACCCAGACTTACTGAACAAAAACAGTCTGAGCAATCAAAGTCAGAGCCGAAGAGCTAGACAGGCAACAGAGACTCTCACAGAGCGAGAGAACCAGTTCTACTTCACTAAAACTGTCTTAGATGCCATGCCAGCCAATTGTCCAAGAATTACACTCGGGCCTATTGTGTGCCCAGCCGGGAGCATCACAATGGAGCAGATCTGATTACACACCAGGCAAGCCATGACTTGTTCCTGTCAGCTCTCAGTGTGTGATGGTGATTGAGCACTTTCTTAACACATAGTTGATTCCTCTGTGTATTTAGTGTATGCCTTATCACTGTGATTTCAACACTTCCAACAGTTTTCAAACTGGGCTCCCGAGTGGCGCAGCGGTCTAAGGCACTGCATCTCAGTGCTAGAGGCATCACTACAGACCCTGGTTCGATTCCAGGCTGTATCACAATTTGGCTGTGATTGGGCGGCGCACAATTGGCCCGGGGTAGGCCGTCATTGTAAATAATACTTATTTCTTAACTGACTTGCCTAGTTAAATAAAGGTTAAAAAATATATATAATAATTTGGAAATAACTAAGAGCAACGCCTATGTAAACACATTAGCTAATCATGCTTTTTGCTCTGTGTTCATTTGATGATTTACTGTTGAAAAGATGAACAATTATCACCATAATTAATAATGGTACATTTTCAGGCTTATCAGAACAGCTTTAGATGTTGTGCAATAGATTCATACAGTTTCTTGGAAATTTGAACTATATCTCCTACAGTAACTATATTATTTTCTAATGAAAAGTCCCTGTGTTGTTGAGTAGTATGCTCACTTGAGGAATCACAGTGTGCATTTGACCATATCTCTATTGTTGTAAGAAGACTGTAGCTGTTAAGGTGTAATTCAACCCCAGTAGTTCGTGTTAATCCACTTAGTTTCCCTCACAATGGACAGCTTGAAATTCTAGTCCTGCCCACAACGCCACAGAATGCAGGCCTGATGGGATTTATGGTTTGCCAAGATTTTTAGCGCCATTTCTACAACCGTAAGGAGGGAAATAACTTGATTTTGCCACCAGAAACCAGTTCAGACTTCAAAGTATTTTAACGCACCAGCTTATTCTCATGTTTCTATAACCGTTTTTAGCGCTTGTTTTAAAGACCTCAAAATCTCATGAACTAACTTTTTGCATTTAAAGAAGATGATGATAGACGAGAGGAGAAGAGGGAGAGAAGAAGTTGACTGGGCATGAGGAGAGGATATGTGAGAGTGAGGAGGGGTGAAATTTGGAGTTTCTTTTATTTTTATTTTTATTAAAAAATTTGTGGGTATTTTACCCCCTTTTTCTCCCCAATTTCGTGGTATCCAATTGGTAGTAGTTACAGTTCCTGTCCCATCGCTGCAACCCCCGTACGGACACGGGAGAGGCGAAGGACGAGAGTTGTGCGTCCTCCGAAACAGAACCTAACCGAGCCGCACTGCTTCTTGACACAGTGCCCGCTTAACCTGGAAGACAGCCGCACCAATGTGTCGGAGGAAACACCGTACACCTGGCGACCGAGTCAGCGTGCACTGCGCCCGGCCCGCCACAGGGGTCGCTCTAGCGCGATGGGACAAGGACATCCCTGCCGGCCAATCCCTCCCCTACCCTGGACGACGCTGGGCCAATTGTGCGCCGCCCCATGGGTCTCCCGGTCGCGGCCGGCTACGACAGAGCCTGGACTCAAATCAGGATCTCTAGAGATTTGAGAGTTTGAAGGGGATCAGAAAGGGAGCTGTAGATAAGAGGAAGGAAAGTGTTATGCAAAGATGTGAGATGGAACAGCGGGAACATGGAAGGGTGGAGAAGAGAGTGGAAGAGAGAGTGGAGATGTGAGCGAGTGGAGATGTGAGAGAGTGGAGATGTGAGAGAAGAGAGAGGCTGAGGCACTACAGAGGGCACTAGACTGACTCTGCTGGCAAGCTGTGGGCGGGTCATTGTTCCCCAGGGCATGCATGGCTGCCAGGACCTGTCAGGAGGCTTGCTGTGGCATTCAGCTCCACTGAGGAGCCATGTTGCTGTCTATTCAGACCCTCTGTCCCTCACGGCAGCTAAAAGGGGACTTTAAGCTTTATTAGCAAGAGAGTGTGTGTGTGCTTGCGTGCATGGTGGGCCACTCCTGGGCACCGCTGGGCTCCTGGCAGTGTGTTTGTGTGTGATGCTGGTTCTCACTTCTCTTCCCATCCCCAGGCTGAATGACTATTTATCCTGCTCATTCTCTCTGGCCTGTGTTTTTCTTCTGCTAGCCCGTCTGAATGGTCCGATGCTGATCCTTTTCTCTACACTGTGGTTTGGAGTGTCTGGTCGTGGTGTTCTTTCCTGGTATGCCACCGTATTAGAGAGCATTTGGACAGAATATCCTGCTGTGTGTGAAGAAGACTTGTGAAAGACTAGAAAATGTTGGAAAGGTGGTGGCTTTCTCCACTTTCAGTAATACTTCTGTTAGGTCATTACTCATGTCCCCAGACAAGCAGGACATAGAGTGCAGCGGTAAAGACCCACAAGGAGAGAGATCGTCATCATTGCATGGGAGACCTCATCTGTAAGCACTAAAATACTGTTCATTGTACCCCAAATTCACACATTCGCTATGATACAGTCATGCAGAATACATTTTCTATCCCCAATAGGCTGGTGAGCACTAATAGAGCACTAATAGAATTCTCAGGAATATCTGCCTTCCTATCCCCCTCTTGAATGACTTAAGGCTTATAAAGTCTGACTCCATTCCTTTTGACAATATGAACATATGGTTCCCATCAGAAGGACTCATAATGGCCTTACTGGAATTGAGGGTCAAGGTTAGGCATAATGGGTTTTGGCATAATGACAGTACTCTGCTGGTGGTTTTGCTCTGCAGGGTGTATGTTCGTGCCTGCTGTTTGCAAGCTTCGAGTGTACTGTCTCTTGAGTAGGTAGCACTTTGCCAATACAGTATGTTAGATAGTTGAATTTCATCACGATATTGTCTTGCAAGAAGATAGCAGCAATGTTGATTCAGATAGAGTTCAGAAGAGAAATACAGTCTGAAGTTAGCATTACGTTATTACGTGAATCAAAGGAGTGAATCAAAGGAATATGTCCCCTAGCAATGCAGATGAATGTGATGAGTCAAATATTAAAGGAACTGATTAATTTGTAGTTGGTCAGCTCAGACTGAGGGAGAGGTATAGCTATGCAAGGAATCCAGTCCTGGAGGGACAATAATAAAATGGGTCATGGTTCCATGACTTTACTCTGTGAAGTTGAAGTAAGGACATTCCAAGCCCCTTGACTGGAGAGAGAGAGAGAGAGAGAGCAAAGTACTAGGCTTGACTTACAGTAGGAAACTGATGATTCACATGTCTTGAGGGTGAGGTCATTGCAGTGAGGTGGTAGTACTCAGGGGTGGACTGGGACCAGAAATCGGCTCAGGCATTTCTAACACACCAGCCAGCCCATTTTTTTCCTTGAGGCCCCCACACACACCGGCCCATTTTATTTCTTGAGGCCCCCATTATTAGCCAGATAATGATCATTTGGCAAAAACAAGTTTGACAGGCCCAATAGGCTAAAAGTGGAAGGCCATCTGGCATTTGCCAAAAATGCCAGATGGCCAGTCGGCCCCTGGTAGCACTGCACAAAGGAGAGCTGTTCAGTTCTGCTGACTTGGATCAGCTTCCATCCACTACTCCTGACTCCCATAGCTTGTGACAGTTAGTGCACCTGGGCAGGGAGCAAGCCCTTTTGACAAGGAACAAACCCCTCTCTACCTTAACCTCTCTACCAGTTGGTGGTAGCATGTTTCTACAATGAGTTAATCTGTCAACACATTTAGCTCCTACAAGACCCTTGAGACAAGACAGATTCTACAGACTGAAGTCTGTCAGTGTACACACAGATACTGACCCCTGCTGGTTACATTGACCACCACACCTCTTATAGTGTTTGCCAGTGGTATTTTACATATTGAGAGCTTCTATCTGCATTAAAATTGGGTTATTGACATACCCTTGTTCTGTACAATGTTATCTACCTATATAGTACTCATGTTGCTAAGTCCAAAAGAAAACAAGATAAACATTGATGACACCATTCAAACCAATGAGGTTTCGGAACTTTAAAGCCAATTATCTCCGAATCCTCTTTTTGCAGATATAACTTTATAGTCCCAAGCTCTCGATATGCTGAATGTTTGGATATTGTTTTATAGTGGCGCAGCGAGTGGTGCAGTGGTGTCACTACAGACCCCCTGGTTCAATTCCAGGCTGTATCACAACCGGCTGTGATTGGGAGTCCCATAGGGCGGCGCACAATTGGCCCAGCGTCGTCCGGGTTTGGCCGGTGTAGGCTGTCATTGTAAATAAGAATTTGTTCTTAACTGACTTGCCTAGTTAAATAAAAAAAAATAGGTTCATGATAGGAATATTAAGTGTACACTTAACTGGTTTCAGTTTGAAGGCTGTCAGAAGGCTTTCTCTCGGCTGGAGAACCTGAAGATCCACCTGCGCAGCCACACTGGAGAGAAGCCTTATCTATGCCAGCACCCAGGCTGCCACAAAGCCTTCAGCAACTCCAGCGACCGAGCCAAGCATCAGCGCACACACCTGGACACAGTGAGTTGAGTGGCATGTCTCAGACAGACACACAGAAAACACATGCACACATTGAGACACTGATCTCTTACTCTGTTTTCTTCCTTATTCTCTCTCTCGTGTCGCTCTCTTTTTGTCCTCTCTCGAGCTGGACATGGCAGCTAGCTAGCATTTCCACCTTCAAAAAAGCTGTACACAAATACTTCAGTGTAGACTGTGCTTTTATCTAGACAGCTTTTATGTGATGTGTATGCTTTTATTGATTATATGGAACCCAGAAGTGAGTGGACTATCGTGGCTAAATAAATCAAATTAAATGACACACACACCGAAAGTCGAAACTGAAAGTTGTTGGTTTTGTGACATTATTTACAGTTGTCTGTGTACGTGTGCATGTTTGTGCAGAAGCCGTACGCGTGTCAGATCCCTGGTTGTGTAAAGCGCTACACTGACCCCAGCTCCCTGCGCAAGCACGTCAAATCCCACTCCTCCAAAGAGAGGCAGTTGAGGAAGAAGGTCAGTATGGAGCTGCCTGGACTCTACTCTTTACACTTAGGCCTGATAATCCGCTCAATCAACCTCAGGAATTTACACTTTGCAGTGAAAGGATCCACTTGACTTTATCACAGTCTCAATGGCTCTTTAGAAACACTCTCTCTTTCACAGCCTCTTACTTTTCCCCACTTCTGTTGTATCGCAAACACATCCACTTACACAGTACACTAACACAGTATGCCTCCACGTATTGTTGTATAAATCTTCACTAGTTAGTTGATTTGCTTTGCTGCGCTGTAATGTTCAGAACATATTAAAGTCCCTGTAGGGGATAATTATGCTCATTAAATAAATCTTACAGTTAAGGTTATGTCACCATAGATACAACATGCCGCAGGAGGTGGGCTGTTTCTATAAAAATAAAAAATATGTACGAACGCTCCCACATTCACAGCTTTTTTCATTAGCAAGTTAGTGTATTCTCTACTGCATTTATGCTGATCTCTGTACCTCTGTTTCTCTGTGATTGGTCTAAAGCTGAGGTTGTCTGTTGACATGAGCCAAGAGGCATTAACGGATTGCCTAACCATCCAACACCTGAAACCCAGCCTCTCTCCTCTGGACATGATTGACAGAAGGTTGGGCCAATCCCCTAGCCCTTCCCTAGATCACTACACAGGTACACATCTTCCAGATGCTCTGACTGTGCCTTTATTTAGAGTTAGGTAGGCCTATTCGGTTAGGTAGGCCTATTATGTACGTATATTCTTCTTAATTAGAGTCTCGGTGATGGGTTTATGTTGTGTGTAGCCTTGTCCAGTGTATCCATATCTCTATTTTGTTGTCTGTGTTTTATAGAATTGCTGTCCAGTGGCCAGTCTAGCCACTGTGTGTCTCTATCCATCCCTGTCCATTCAGCTGTTCCACAGCGCCAACCCTCCTCAAACAGCTCACACCTGGCTCTGCTGCGCTCCCAGCAGGACAGTTACAGGTACTGCACCCACACAGCAGAACGACTATTATTTGTCTTCTAATCTATTTGAGTTCACCACAGAAGTTTATTCAGCTTTGACTATGAGGCAGTTTAGTGTCATTGCCGGTTGTTTATATGCAGAGGGAACATTTTCATTTATGATAAACAATTCATACAATGGTGTTTTACCTATGGTCAAATTATGAAAATTCATTAGCAGCTGTCACAATCACTTAGTATTTGTTGCTGTGGTAGTTATGTGGAAATCATTTTCTAAGACATTGGTGGTGAGAACATTTCCATTTTAAAACTATGTGTAAACTTCACCACAGTGATATGTGCACAGTTAATGTTATACTGTAATTCTGTCTTAAATGTTAAAACGTGCAGGAGATAGTCTTGAACTAGAAAAGTGGGTACTATTTAAACCATTCATCATTCATAGTGATATTTAGTCACATATTTTTATCTCTGTAATGAAGGCTACTCATCATAAATGCAGTAATCAATTTACAATAAATGTGTAGGAGTAGTAGTCGAGCAAGGATTTCTATCACTGCGTTCAATGTTCCTTCCTTGAGACTTTGAGAATACAGTTATATTCCCAGATCTTGTGTAAAGGTTGAAGCATTTACAATGAATGTGTTTCGTAGTTATGACAAGTGCTGGCTAATGAAAGTTCTGAAGTCATTACCTTAAGAGCAGTCTTTCACTCTCTCTCCCCTCCTACTGGGTAATCAATTAACAGCGTTCTTGGAATTCTGCAGGTGAAATAATTATACCTGTATATTATGAAAGACCTTACCTAGTCCTGTTGAAAGCCGCAGCCCCTTCAAGAACCTCTATTGATGGCTTTTTGCAGATAATTTTCTCAGTGTGTCTAAGACATTGACGGAGAAATATGTGTTCGAATGGCATCACTGGATGCATAATGTCTGACTCTGACAATGTGTCAGACAATGGTGAATAGATGGTTATATTTCTCATCCATCCTGTTTAACCTCTATGGGATCGGTGTCCCGTAAACGGGACGGTTGAGCTAACGTGCGCTAATGTGATTAGCATGACTGTTTTAAGTAACAGCAGAATTTCCAGGACATAGACATGTCTTATATGGGCAGAAAGCTTAAATTCTTGTTAATCTAACTGCACTGTCCAATTTACAGTAGCTATTACAGTGGGAATATACCATGCTATTGTTGCACAACAACAAAAAAATGTATCACAGCAACTGGTTTGATACATTCACCTCTGAAGGTAAATAATGTACTTACATTCAGTAATCTTGCTCTGATTTGTCATCCTAAGGGTCCCGTCCCAGAGATAAAATGTAGCATAGTTTTGTTTGATAAAATCCATTTTTATATTCAAATGTAGGAACTTGGTTGTACAGTTTGAACCCCTGCTGTCTCTGGCTCCACACCCAACCCGCCCGGCCATCTAGATGTGTGAAAGTTAGTGTATAAGCTAATGATCCATCATGTATGAAATTCCTGGGAGTGTGTAAACTTACATTTTGTATTACTATATCATTTTTGTATGTTCTCTATAGTTATGTACTTGAAAATGTAGTCCAGTATTGCAACGCTTCACTGGATCAATCTGAAACTTTGCACACACACTGCTGCCATCTAGTGGCCAAATTCTAAATTGCGCCTAAACTGCAATATTATATTGTGGCCTTTCTCTTGCATTTCAAATATGATGGAACAAAAATATATATAGAAAAGGCATGTTTTTTTGTTTGTATTATCTTTTACTAGATCTAATGTGTTATATTCTCCTACATTAATTTCACATTTCCACAAACTTCAAAGTGTTTCCTTCAAATGGTATCAAGAATATGCATATCCTGAGCTACAGGAAGTTAGAAATGGGTATGTCATTTTAGGCAGAAATTGAAAAAAAGGGTCCGATCCTTAAGAAGTTAAAGTGGTTTGGTTTTTGAAATATTCACATCTACTTTCTGGGAAGAGAACCTGCTGCAGGACCAGTTGCATCTGTTGGTCAAGCGACTTGGTATTTCTATTCATTTTGAGTTCCCATTGGCACAGTGACTGTAGCCATGATTGACTTAAATGCCTCTCCCATTTTCTCTCTTTTTTTCTGATCTGAAACAAATAAGTACTTAAACGTCGGTTGTCATGGCTTTATGGCAAGAAGCTCATAGTTAGAATAATCTGATTAAAATAAAGCACAATTTTCTCCCCTTGTGAAAGACCCCAATGGGCTTTCTGTGGCCTGCTGCACCTCAGCTGTGAAGAGAGCGGTTGGGAAGAGATTTTACAGGTTGGGAATGGCCAGCAACACTGTTGCCTGGTCAGCCCACAAAAAAACATTCCTTCATCCATGCACTTCAAAGGCAGTGAGAAGGAGGGTTTTCTGAAGTTTTGGGCAGCCAGATGCTCATGGCTTCTCACTGACACTGATTGATTGTCCTGGTAGCAGCAGTAGGCCACAACATTCACCACAGGATTCTGGGTACACAATCAGCCAATGAAAGCAGGCCTTGCTTTGCCTCATCAGTCTCTAGGGCCTGCATTAGTGGATGCTATAGCCACCAACTAGAGTGGCTCAGGAATTCAATAAGTGAATCATAAAATCCGAAAAATACCCTTCAGAGGCTCCTGGAAGAGGATTGCTGTAATTACTTTTCTAGATGTTAAATCGATTGTAAAATATTTTCTTCACTGCCGTTATGTGATTTCTTTATTTCCTCATTCAGCCTGTGCATGGTTATGCCCTTAATCAATTGCATTGTAAACAGCTCAATTATTTTAATTATTACCCTGGTGCCAGTAAGAAAAATGAAAAAGGTTTTCAGATACACCATAAAAGCAGTCATCCAACTCATTGTTTGGCTTTCCTTCTAAGGATTTTCTTCACAATATCCTCTTTCTTACTTTCTGATGCCTGGTATGGGAAAAGAAGGTTGCCATATTTAAGTAATCAGGCATTTTAGTCTGGGCAAACGAACTAAAACAAGTCATTAAGATTTCTCTCACGTACCATCTGCCAAATAAGAAACGTATATCTGTGCTTAGTTAACATGCGTTATTTATAATCTGAGAGGTGTGCTATGTTACTTCCTCTCAGTTATGAATTAGCGGACTCTTTTAAACAGACTTTTACTTGTCAGATATCAGTGTGGTCAGGCCAAAAAGCTGTGAAATGTTTGTTCCTGGTGAAATTTGAAGTGAAATACATCCAAAACGTTCCTAATAATTTGGTCAATATATCCCAACCACAACTCAAATACTAATCATTTCTGTATTACTTTAAACTGTTGGTCTAACTCTAAGGCTGCATTTACATTAGTGCTGAGTGATTTAGTTCTTTTTGAGGTCGGTTCGGTTTTGGTTAGATTATTTTTAAAAAGATCACGGTTTTCGATTACGGTTTCGATTATTTAACAAATGCACTATGCATTATTTCAGTTGAATGCTGTAACAACACAGAATGAAACAATTCATAGAAATCCCATGATGGTAGTGACTGCCCATTACTGCTTATCACTTATTAACCATAATTGATTCACATTACTTTACTTTAATAAAATATTTTTACAATATTTCAGTTGTTGTGTATATTACATTTGTTTTATTTGATGACTTTATTATTTAATTCCAAATCATCATCTCATCTCTATAGAGCTGCTGCCTATGCTGTCTGACAAAATCACTATTTTAGTAGTTCTTCAAAGTAAATAAGGCATACTTTTATAACTGCTGAATACCAACTATCAATCACTGCTGTCTATCCATCTCGATTGCACATTCTTCTGTCTCTTCACTCTCTTGCTCCATGTCTGCCCCACACTTACTTAATGTAGCAGGCATAAAAGAAACACACAGACCGGACAAGTAGGCGCGCAATGGATTATGGTCATTGTAGTTAAATACCATGTTTTCTGCACTAAACTATGTAGAATATTGACCTGTTGGAAACGACAACTCCCTACTACATTGCACAGTTCAGGCTTGAGCTGATTTATCTCTAGAGAAACTGTACAATGTGCTTATTGAGCTCACAGAAAAAAAACGAATAAAATGAAATTCAAATAATTGAACCGAAGTCAGTCAATTAGTTATTTAAAAAACGAAAAATAACTGACATTTCGGTTAATCACTCAGCAATAGTTTACACAGGCAGCCCAATTTTGATATTTTTTCACAAATTGGCCTTTTGTCCAATCAGATCAGCTCTTTTATCAATAATTGGGAAAAATATAAGAATCAGTTCAGAAAGTCAACACCAAACCCCTTTAAGTGTCATAACCCCTTATGCTTATTTGTGTACTTTTCACCACGCTTTTCACCCCCTCTAGTTCTGTAGCCTACTAGAAACAATGTATTTTAAGGTTTATAATACTACCAAAGTTGTCTTTGAACTCAAAAAAATTTGCCCAATATACCCGTTACCAATTATCACTCATTTTGATAAATAGCGCTCATGCGCATTTCGTCACTTCGCAATATAAACTTTCTCAGTTTGAAAAAACATCATTTTCTATATCATTCGTGTTTATGAATTTACCATGTAAAATTTGACTGTATTATTTCATTTGTTCTAAGTTAGCTCACAGATTTGAGGGTTTGTTAAGAAGAGAAAGAGAGGAGATATTGCGTATTTCTCCATTCTCCTTACAAGCAGGCACATGCACAGATAGGGCTCTAGCTGTGCAGAGCACATGCCCCTTTTCCCTTCCAGGCTCCAAAGTGCCCTTTTGAGTGGTGGTATAATTTCCATGAGGCTGAGAGAAAAATGTGCAGTTTTACAGCAAATGTCCTGTCACTCTAAACTATTTTGACATGAATTATGACGTGTTCATATCCTATCTGGGGAGGGGGCTATGTCATAAGCCCTCAAAGTTCCAGAATGGGGTGAAAATGGCAGCCATATTGGTCAGGGATAAATCCAAACCAGTCTAATTGGAATTAATGTCAGTAGAGGCATAATCCTGATTTTACTTATGCAGGAAAATAAAACAAAACCATGTGATATATCAGAAATTGTGTAATATATTTATTGTCAACCTAAAATATTGTCATATCATCATAAATACAGTTTATACGGGTTTTATACCAATTTTCTGTATACATAGCCTCTAAAATTGTGACTAGGTGTGAATGAAGGAGTCAAGCGCAGGAGGTAAAATACCGAAGTCCAGAGTTTATTCCATTTACATAAATCAAACGCCCAAAGCGTCAAACGAAACTATTACAAGGGAAAACATCCACCTTGGCATAAACACAGTGAATAGTAGCTCAACCGAGCTACACGCTCTCACAACAAACAATCACTCACAAAGACAAGGGGAACAGAGGGAACACTTATACACATACTAATTAGGGGAATGAGCACCAGGTGTGTGTGATTGACAAGACATGACAAGTGGAGTGATGAGAATGGGATCGGCAGTAGCTAGTACTTCCGGTGACGACGAACGCCGAAGCCTGCCCGAACCAGGAGGGGGGGCAGCCTCGGCGGAAGTCGTGACAAAAATAAATGTAAACAGACCATAAATGTCTAAAAAAATATATATTGGAAAGCTGAGAGTGCTATTATATAATATCAGTACTTGTTAGATTTACAACTTGTCTAAATCCTATCATCTACTGATTTCAGCCAGTGTATGGCTGTGGATTGACTGCATTGTTTGAATGGAATGTTGGCATATTGGCAGTTAATTTGAAAATAATTATGGAATCAGTCCTCTAAAACTGTCTGGCTAGCTAGCTAACAAACAGTGCAGATAAATTCTTCAAATTCATTATTTTACACAATATCTTATCACAGCACTGGCAAACCATGGTTGACCAACTCCCTGACCTTTATCCCATCATAAGAAGGTTCATGTCCATTCTAGTATTCTAATTCCTAATTCTATTGGGCCAACCTCCAGGGGGCCCCCAACCCCAAGAAATCTATATATATATATATATATATATATACACTGCTCAAAAAAATAAAGGGAACACTTAAACAACACAATGTAACGCCAAGTCAATCACACTTCTGTGAAATCAAACTGTCCACTTAGGAAGCAACACTGATTGACAATAAATGTCACATGCTGTTGTGCAAATGGAATAGACAACAGGTGGAAATTATAGGCAATTAGCAAGACACCCCAATAAAGGAATGGTTCTGCAGGTGGTGACCACAGACCACTTCTCAGTTCCTATGCTTCCTGGCTGATGTTTTGGTCACTTTTGAATGCTGGCGGTGCTTTCACTCTAGTGGTAGCATGAGACGGAGTCTACAACCCACACAAGTGGCTCAGGTAGTGCAGCTCATCCAGGATGGCACATCAATGTGAGCTGTGGCAAGAAGGTTTGCTGTGTCTGTCAGCGTAGTGTCCAGAGCATGGAGGCGCTACCAGGAGACAGGCTAGTACATCAGGAGATGTGGAGGAGGCCGTAGGAGGGCAACAACCCAGCAGCAGGACCGCTACCTCCGCCTTTGTGCAAGGAGGAGCAGGAGGAGCACTGCCAGAGCCCTGCAAAATGACCTCCAGCAGGCCACAAATGTGCATGTGTCTGCTCAAACAGTCAGAAACAGACTCCATGAGGGTGGTATGAGGGCCCGACGTCCACAGGTGGAGGTTGTGCTTACAGCCCAACACCGTGCAGGACGTTTGGCATTTGCCAGAGAACACCAAGATTGGCAAATTCGCCACTGGCGCCCTGTGCTCTTCACAGATGAAAGCAGGTTCACACTGAGCACATGTGACAGACGTGACAGAGTCTGGAGACGCCGTGGAGAACGTTCTGCTGCCTGCAACATCCTCCAGCATGACCGGTTTGGCGGTGGGTCAGTCATGGTGTGGGGTGGCATTTCTTTGGGGGGGCCGCACAGCCCTCCATGTGCTCGCCAGAGGTAGCCTGACTGCCATTAGGTACTGAGATGATATCCTCAGACCCCTTGTGAGACCATATGCTGGTGCGGTTGGCCCTGGGTTCCTCCTAATGCAAGACAATGCTAGACCTCATGTGGCTGGAGTGTGTCAGCAGTTCCTGCAAGAGGAAGGCATTGAAGCTATGGACTGGCCCGCCCGTTCCCCAGACCTGAATCCAATTGAGCACATCTGGGACATCATGTCTCGCTCCATCCACCAACGCCACGTTGCACCATAGACTGTCCAGGAGTTGGCGGATGCTTTAGTCCAGGTCTGGGAGGAGATCCCTCAGGAGACCATCCGCCACCTCATCAGGAGCATGCCCAGGCGTTGTAGGGAGGTCATACAGGCACGTGGAGGCCACACACACTACTGAGCCTCATTTTGACTTGTTTTAAGGACATTACATCAAAGTTGGATCAGCCTGTAGTGTGGTTTTCCACTTAAATTTTGAGGGTGACTCCAAATCCAGACCTCCATGGGTTGATACATTTGATTTCCATTGATAATTTTTGTGTGATTTTGTTGTCAGCACATTCAACTATGTAAAGAAAAAAGTATTTAATAAGATTATTTCATTCATTCAGATCTAGGATGTGTTGTTTAAGTGTTCCCTTTATTTTTATGAGCAGTGTATATACATTTTGGGGGTTGGGCACCCCCAAAGCCTGTGGGCCCCCCCGCCTTGCATGGGCTGTGGGGGTTTGTGGTACGCCAGTGACCCCCACCCAGTCAGTTGGTTGTGCCTGTTGACCTGCCCTGTACGGAGCTTGCGTGTGCCCGGTTGCGCCTTTTTCCTAGTCTGCCCTGTACAGAGATTGGTGCTTGCGTGTATGCCCGGTTGCGCCTTTTTCCCAGTCTGCCCTGTACAGAGATTGCGCACACCCGGTATCCAAACACACATGGCTTGAGAGATGCGGTCGCCGATCAAATGTGTAGTGTGTAGCTAGCTACTTAGTTAAAATATCAACAGTACTGCCACAGCAGCATAACATTTGACTAACACTTGATAACACTTGATTTAGCCTACATCATCATCAATATTCGGTCTGGTTGGCTGATACATGCAGCAGAGAGAGACAGAAAGACAGAAAGGTAAATCACAATCAGTAAAAGAAATCGAGCTAGCTAACTAGCAGATTTACATGAATCATCAACATCAATGATCAGCTGATAGCCCACCGTCTTTTCCCAATGTCAATCATGTCTTTAGGAGGCACTGTAAATAGCTTGCTTAAAATTTGTGATGATGAGTGAGTGTGTTGTTGCATAAATAAATAGGCCTACTGCATGGGCAGTGACACAGTATCATTATGTTTTGCAGCAGGTGTGCAGATGAAATTATATGTCTCCATCTGTATCTTGAACAACCTGATATGTTTGCCAATAGGTCCCCCCACCACCTCAGCCCCAGGTCATACCAAAACCAACTGACTGGTCCCTCCACTCCTCATACTCACCATCCCACTGGCTTATCCCTAAAGACCAGCACACCTCTGAGTCATCCCAGTCACACTCCTGTAGTAAACGCAGACCACCACCCAGGTAAATGACACCTACTAACTACAGGTACATCAAATATGTTTCACTGCATTCATCTATTAGGTGCTAATGTACTAAATTGAAGATATCCTTCCCTGGAATGTCAAAAGTGACAGCAGATCAGGTTGGTAATGCATCACAGAGATCTGCATAGAATTACACCTGCGCCTACAGGATGGCATAGCTTTTTGACTGTGGAAATGTGCCTGTGGAAAGAAAACAATGGTACAATTCCTCAGGGAAATTCCTACTCTGAAATGAGAGACTGTTCGTTTTATTGGGAGAAAGTCTATCAAATAATTGTGTGGGTGGTTTGACATTCTGTTATGACAGATACTCTCAGATATAGGATGATCATGGCTTAATGCTATCTGTTGTGCAGCAGGTGGCTGATGTTTTTCTATGTAGGAAAGAAGAAGCAGCTTTACTCTCTGGATCATAGCTGAAAATAGATAGCACATTTTCCCCACTGGACTTGCCAGCAGCACTTGATGTTGACAAGGTGTTCATGCTGTGCACCGTTTCTGTTGTTTTGATAAGAACAATGCTTCAAACTACTCAAAGCACAGTTCTGTAGTATCAGATATAGAGTAATAGTGCTTCAATAAGGTACCATGGTGGTTGTAATGGTTTTACTTTTATCTATACCATATTTATTTGTCTATATGAATATCAAGATATGAAGCCAATGTGCTTGTGGAAGAAGTAACAATGAATAAAGTTGAAAAGAGCGAAACACCAGAGAAGGAAAACAGATTCTTCAGTCTCCCCCTTCATCTATTCGTAAAATGTAAATAACTAGAGGTACCTGTTATTTTCCTCCTCAGGTTTTAGTGGTCAGATCCAAATGGTGTACTCTCCATCATACAACAATGATACACACAAATCCACCAAGCAGACCAACTCCTGTCACCTGATGCAAACCCCAGTGTTTGATGACAGCCTTGCTCCAACATTTACCACTCAGAATGGACTAGACATCTCCCAAAGAGCTCTGTCGTCTGGGCTCACAGGTAATAAAGAGACAAAGTACAATTACAGTATAGTACGGATAAACATGCAGTCATTTGCATCTATCGTATAACAAGGACTCTCTGTGTGTGTTGCATCCACAGTAAATGACCTGCAGGGTGCGTCACAGGATCTGCCAGTGCCAGTGATGTCAGAGGACGCTTATCTACATGTCAGTGCGGTGGACCATTGCTCTAGCCAGCTCTCCTGTATTTACACTGAGGGTTGACGTCAGCAAATATATCCACTTCCTAAGGCAGATGATTTCAATAATACTCCTACAACAAGCATATTGTTCTTCAGCTCCATGCTCACTGAAATTGACCTGAGTGTGATGCCCCTATTGGGTGAGAACTGTAGACAAGAGGGGACATACAGTAGTTTTAATGAATTCAATGGGCAAAATGAACATATCCACATCACTTATTAACTGACATTGTTTTCATAATGGCAAGGCATACAGTCATATGTATCATAAAAACTATTCTGAGATCCTTACTTTTGGAGTCTGCAAGATGCTGTCTTCATTCAAGTGAGTATCATCCACAGGAGGCTGCTGAGGGGAGGACGGCTCATAATAATGGCCGGAACGGAGCAAATGGAATGGTATCAAACACCTGGAAACCATGTGTTTGATGTATGTGATACCATCCTGCCTATTCCGATACCAGTCATTACCACAAGCCCGTTCTCCCCAATTAAGGTGCCACCAACCTCCTGTGGTATCATCGAATGTCAGAATCCAAGCCCACAATGAAATATGACTCCTAAAGATTGTGTTGTACTGAAAAAATGACACTTCTGTGGATACTTTGGAGGATTTTTTATATTTACATTAGTTGAATGCATACAGTTGTATCTAAATATTGTCCCTCCTATTATGCAATTACTATAGATACCATAAAAAGCACATGAAAGGAACATTGTTTTGTTTTTCATACATGTGTTAGTAGCATATGAATTATACAGAACAAAAATATAAACGCAACACGTAAAGTGTTGGTCGCATGTTTCATGAGCTGAAATAAAAGATCAGAGACATTTTCCATATGCACAAAAAGCTTATTTCTCTCAAATAAATGTTGTGCACAAATTTGTTTACATCCCTGTTGGTGAGCATTTCTCCTTTATCAAGATAATCCATCCACCTGACTGGTGTGGCATATCAAGAAGCTGATTAAACAGCATGATCACTACACAGGTGTTCATTTTTCTACCATAAGTCGTCTCCAACGTCATTTTAGAGCAGCGTTTCCCAAACTCAGTCCTTGGGCCCACCCTGGGTGCACGTTTTGGTTGTTGCCCTAGCACTACACAGCTGATTGGGGGGGGGGGGGCGAGCTTGGGAAACCCTGGTTTTAGAAAATTTGGCGGTACGTCAAACCGGCCTCACAACCCCAGGACCTCCACTTCTGGCTTCTTCACCTGCGGGATCATCTGAGACCAGCCACCTGGACAGCTGGTGAAACTTTGGGTTTGCACAACTTAATAATTTCTGCACAATCTGTCAGAAACCATCTCAGGAAAGCTCATCTGCGTGCTCGTCGTACTCACCAGAGACTTGACCTGACTGCAGTTCTGGATCATAACCGATTTGAGTGGACAAATGCTCACCTTCAATGGCCACTGGCACGCTAGAGAAGTGTGCTCTTCACGGATGAATTCCGGTTTCAACTCTACCAGGCAGATGGCAGACAGTGTGTATGGCGTCGTGTGGGCGAGCAGTTTGCTGTTGTCAACATTGTGAACAGAGTGCCCCATGGTGGCGGTGGGGTTATGGTATGGGCAGGCATAAGCTACGGATAACAAACACAATTGCATTTTATTGATGGCAATTTGAATGCACAGAGATACCGTGATGAGATCCTGAGGCCCATTGTCGTGCCATTCATCCGCCGCCATCACCTCCTGTTTCAGCATGATAATGCATGGCCCTATGTCGCAAGGATCTGTACGCAATTCCTGGAACCTGAAAATGTCCCAGTTCTTCCATGACCTGCATACTCACCAGACATACAGTATCACCCATTGAGCATGGTTGGGATGCTCTGGATCAACGTGTACGACATCGTGTTCCAGTTCCCGGCAATATCCAGCAACTTCGCACAGCCATTGAAGAGGAGTGGGACAACATTCCACAGGTCACAATCAACAGCCTGATCAACTCTATGCGAGGCAAATGGTGGTCACACCAGATACTGACTGGTTTTCTGATCCATACCCTACCTTTTTTTTGTTTAAAGGTGTCTGTGACCAACAGATGTATATCTGTATTCCCAGTCGTGAAATCCATAGATTAGGGCCTAATGAATTTATTTCAAATTGACTGATTTCCTTATATGAACTGTAACTCAGTAAAATCTTTGAAATTGCTTCATGTTGCGTTTATATTTTTGTTCAAAGATCTTTTGTGTGAAATATGTTAGAGAAATCTAACCTGAATTGTGTGTGTTTTTCTGCTTGTCAGATTAATTACATGTTTTAATGACTGAGCCTAGAGAAAATTGGAGGTGGTTGTTCGAAGGCATGTCTATACTATTGTACATAATTGTTTAAGAAGGAAAATAAAGTTTGTAATTTATTATATTTAGTTGCGTAGGTAGATGATGATGAAACCCTGACTGTTAATTTGGACCTAAACAATAAAAATATCTAGTGTAATTACATAGTAATGTGTATTACAGAAGTAACCCTAGTTTACCTTTTTCCTAAGTCTAGCTGGCTCTGAAAATGTCCTTTATTGATTGGATGAAATAAAGCAATTATTTGTAAAACTGAAACATTCGAATGGCATCGATGAAATAAACTCAAAAAGGTCCCTTATAGTGATGTCTAATAGGTTCATAATCCGTATCTGTGAACTGTTAGGCTAATTAAATTATGTATAGCCTTTCACTAAAACACAAGATTTAACATGATGAGAGAGAGAGAGAGAGAGAGAGAGAGAGAGAGAGAGAGAGAGAGAGAGAGAGAGAGAGAGAGAGAGAGAGAGAGAGAGAGAGAGAGAGAGAGAGAGAGAGAGAGAGAGAGAGAGAGAGAGAGAGAGAGAGAGAGAGAGAGAGAGAGAGCAAACCCTCCAACCCAAAAAGGCCTGTGGTGTTGATGGTATCCTCAATGAAATGATAAAATATACAGACCTCAAATTCCAATTGGCTATACCTAAACTCTTTAACATCATCCTTAGATCTGGCATCTTCCCCAATATTTGGAACCAAGGACTGATCACCCCAATTCACAAAAGTGGAGACAAATTTGACCCCAATAACTACTGTGGGATATGCGTCAACAGCAACCTTGGGAAAATCCAATGCATTATCATTAACAGCAGACTAGTTCATTTCCACAGTGAAAACAATGTACTGAGCAAATGTCAAATTGGCTTTTTACCAAATTACCATACGACAGACCACGTATGCACCCTGCACACCCTAATTGACAAACAAATAAACCAAAACAAAGGCAAAGTCTTCTCATGCTTTGTTGATTTCAAAAAAGCTTTTGACTCAATTTGGCATGAGGGTCTGCTATACAAATTGATGGAAAGTGGGGTTGGGGGAAAAACATACGACATTATAAAATCCATGTACACAAACAACAAGTGTGCAGCTAAAATTGGCATAAAACACACACATTTCTTTCCACAGGGCCGTGGGGTGAGACAGAGATGCAGTTTAAGCCCCACCCTCTTCAACATGTATATCAATGAATTGGCGAGGGCACTAGAACAGTCTGCAGCACCCGGCCTCACCCTACTAGAATCTGAAGTCAAATGTCTACCGTTTACTGATGATTTGGTGCTTCAGTCACTAACCAAGGAGGGCCTACAGCAGCACCTAGATCTTCTGCACAGATTCTGTCAGACCTGGGCCCTGACAGTAAATCTCAGTAAGACAAAAATAATGGTGTTCCAAAAAAGGTCCAGTTGCCAGGACCACAAATACAAATTCCATCTAGACACCGTTGCCCTAGAGCACACAAAATACTATACATACCTCTGCCTAAACATCAGCGCCACAGGTAACTTCCACAAAGCTGTGAACGATCTGAGAGACAAGGCAAGAAGGGCCTTCTATGCCATCAAAAGGAATATAAAGTTTGACATACCAATTAGGATCTGTCTAAAAATACTTGAATCAGTTATAGAACCCATTGCCCTTTATGGTTGTGAGGTCTGGGGTCCGTTCACCAACCAAGAATTCACAAAATGGGACAAACACCAAATTGAGACTCTGCATGCAGAATTCTGCAAAAATATCCTCTGTGTACATCGAAAAACACCAAATAATGCATGCAGAGCAGAATTAGGCCGATACCCGCTAATTATCAAAATCCAGGAAAGAGCTGTTAAATTCTATAACCACTTAAAAGGAAGTGATTCCCAAACCTTGGGAATCAACTACAACACAATTAGACCCAACCAAATCATGAGAAAACAACAAGAGCATTACTTGACACATTGGAAAGAATTAACAAAAAAACAGAGCAAACTAGAATGCTATTTGGCTCTAAACAGAGAGTACACAGTGGCAAAATACCTGACCACTGTGACTGACCCAAACTTAAGGAAAGCTTTGACTATGTACAGACTCAGTGAGCATAGCCTTGCTATTGAGAAAAGCCGCCGTAGGCAGCGCTGGCTCTCAAGAGAAGACAAGCTATGTGCACACTGCCCACAAAATGAGGTGGAAACTGAGCTGCACTTCCTAACCTCCTGCCAAATGTATGACCATATTAGAGATACATATTTCCCTCAGATTACAGAGATCCACAAAGAATTTGAAAACAAACCCAATTTTGATAAACTCCCTTATCTACTGGGTGAAAAACCACAGTGTGCCATCACAGCAGCAAGATTTGTGACCTGTTGCCACAAGAAAAGGGCGACCAGTGAAGAACAAACACCATTGTAAATATAACCCATATTTATGTTTATTTATTTTCCCATTTGTACTTTAACTATTTGCACATTGTTACAACACTGTGTATATATATATATACATAATATGACATTTGAAATGTCTTTATTCTTTTGGAACTTCTAAGTGTAATGTTTACTGTTAATATTTATTGTTTATTTCACTTTTGTTTACAATCTACTTCACTTGTTTTGGCAATGTTAACATACCTTTCCCATGCCAATAAAGCCCTTAAAATTGAATTGAATTGAGAGAGAGAGAGAGAGAGAGAGAGAGAGAGAGAGAGAGAGAGAGAGAGAGAGAGAGAGAGAGAGAGAGAGAGAGAGAGAGAGAGAGAGAGAGAGAGAGAGAGAGAGAGAGAGAGAGTTGCCTCCTTTCTTTGTTATCTCAACCACTCTTTATCACCAATTGGTGCACGTAGTCCCGCCTTGGGGAAATAACCTGATTCAGTGAACTAATGCGTTTATTAATGCTGTTTGCCATGTTGTATTGTGCGCATAATGAAACATTCGGTGATATTTCTATTGCAATTTTTCATACATTAGAAGACTTATTGTACCAAAAATAGTGTGATCAATCCACCCTAATGTGAGGATGTGCTGAGTAAATGAAAGATGACAGATACACTAACGTTATATTGATGTTAATT